AGAGGTCGAAATGTGTGTCTCTCGGCGGGCATGCCGGCCGGCGGCGTTGATGCCCCGCAAAATCGATACGCAATTTTACTTGGCATATAGACTGTTTGAATATAAATTTAACAGCGTAGGCACTTTCTCTCGACCTATTTCTTTCTTGGTGAGAATTCCGCCCGTTCTTCCACAGATCATGTTCAACGTCACGTTGTTGGTTCGACCGCTACAAACGTCTTTGGCAACCTCAAGAGTGGAGTCCGTGATATTCCTACATCCAAAGAGATCCAACAATCGTAATTCAGGCGAGGATCGGATGAGCGTTGTCACGGCCCGATCGCTAAATAGACATCTTCGGCACTTAAATTGTTTTAAGCCACGCACGTTTTCTAAGCCGTCGTCGGTAAGCAGACGCGTATAACTGACGACTAATTTATCGAGTCTTGCCAACGAGGCGATAGCCGTTAATCCGACATCGGTCACGTAGTGGCAACCTGTTGGATATAAAAGAATAATTTTCAAATAGGATAAAAAAGTGGCAAATATACATATATATATATACGCAAACAGACACACACACACGCGCAATTGTAATTTACCCGTAATGTCTACGTTGGTAAGCTGCTGACAATGTTGTACCAAATCGATGAGGAAATGGTCCGATACCTTAGGATTGTGCGTGATTTTTAAAACTTGCAGATCGACAAGGTGATTTAAATGCGACATATCCGTCGTTTGTGCTAAAGGAAAGTTTCCGTTGAGCTCCAATGTTGTCAGAGTTTTGCAATGCTGACCGACAATTTGAAACGTGCCTTCAGCTATACGGGCACATTTACTTATCGCTAGATGTTTCAAATTTTCGAGATTCTTCAGTGCCTGTAACAGACGTGACAATATCACGGATGTGTATCACCGATCGAAAAGTTAAAAGTGAAAAGTGAACAACAATCTATATTTACCGTTGAAAGGTGAGCGTCCCCAAGACAGTAGCAACGGTCCAATACAATTGTACGCATAGTTTGCGCTGGTAAGAACGATAAGCATTTGCCCGAAATGAAATTTCCCGTTATCGCGAGATATCGAAAATTTTCATTCAGCGCGAACAAACGCTTCAACTCGCTGTCGCATTTGGACATGAGTGTTCCTAAACGAAGCTCGGTAATGTTTCTGCAACGTTTTCCTAACGCGCGTATCTCTGACGCGGAAACTGTAAGCGCGGTAACGTCGATATTCCTTAGATTAGGACAAAGTTGCCCGATAACGGTCAACGTGTCTTCGCTCAGAAAATTATTTGGGTCGTTTAGATTTATTCGCGTTAAGAATTTGCCACATTTGAGCAATATTTTGCGAAGTACGACCGTAGGGATGGTATGGGTGTACGCGATACCCCACGTAGATGGCGAAAGATCCAACGTCTTGGTGGTATGCCACGAATTTTTGACTACGCGTCTCCAGCGCTTGCAAACTGTAAATTAATATAGCAGGGGGATAATGTCAACAAGGTCGCGATATGTAGAAATTGTTGGACGCACCACGCGCCCCATGAATAACATCTATATATACTCGCCTATCTCTATGCGGACTCTATCTACGATTGGCAAAAACTGGAAGATATGTTTCAAGCAATGGTCGTTCAGCATATGGATCGATACATTTTCGGTGTCGTTCGGCAGACGATCGTTGTGAACGTATTGTTCCGTGCTGAGCTGTGTTTCGCCAGTTTCGGTCGAGTCCCCATCATTTCCCACCATCGCGTACATGAACGTCTGCTCCGTACTGTCAGGTTGATACCAAGAATATGCGGGCCTCACCAATAAATGTCTGTCGTGCAACGTTATACTCCCGTCTCGCATCGCTCTGCGACAAACAATTGGGCTTACCAACAACCGTATCTCGTTGCGGTCAGTAATTCGAGTAGCGTATATATAGCCGTAGCCTCCTATAAAATTGAAACTTACGTCGCTGCATCTGCCGCTTTGGTAAACGTGACAAACGCACAGTTATTGAACCCTTGATTTCGGTAAACGAAACGGCAAGCGTGGACGTGTCCGTACGTCGAAAAGCACGTGCGTATATGGTTTTTATTTGTCTGGAATAAATAATGTTTGTCAGACAAACCGAGAGAGAGATGGACGCGCCGGATAGTCGCCGGACAAATGTAATGGAATTATATATATATATATATATATATATATATATATGAGATTTGTGGCATAAAAATTGAGAGAAACAAAAACGAGAGATACAAACCTCCCGAGCCAAATTGGTGACGAATAATTTTCGTATCGGTACGCCGTCAATCATTTCCGAACGTAGCAGGCAATCTGAGCGAAAGGACAGAGAGAGAGAGAGAGAGAGAGAGAGAGAGAGAGAGAGAGATGAGACACAGTAGCACAAGAGACAGACGCGTGATTCAGCCCCGTCAAGTTTTCGTTCGAGATGCGCAAAACGAATATGAATATATCGATGCAAAAACGTAAAATCACAGGCAGCTTACCGTCCGATACCGTTACGCTTTCGGCACGATCCAATTTCGAATTATCGTCCATCGTGTGTTGGTGATATACGTATATTTCTATCTCGCCAAAAGCCTTGTTTCTTCACTTGGATGCAGGATGATTCGATTCGCTTCTATATGTTTCTTCGCGCACCGAGTCGCACGAGATTCCGAACGTGGTCACGTGTTACGCGCAAAGTAGAAAATTCGATCGTCGTGGATCCCCCCCACCCTCCTTAAGGCAGTCGCGCAACAAACGCGTGGCATAGACTGCATCTGCATAAGCGTAGGCGTGTGTAAGACCGCGCTCGACCGACGAGCGTGTTACGTCGACCATCAATACGGCGACTTTATGCCGGATGCTCATTGGTTTAGCGGTCTTACGTTACGCTAATGCTACGAGCTACGCACGTTTGTGTGCGCGCGATTGGCCTTTAGATATCTCGCCGTAAACGAGGGGAAACGCTGCGTGCGACGGAGTGGTGCGTGGACCAATCGTAAGGCTGCCGCGAATCGCCTGCGGCGAATTGAAAATTTGTGATTGGTCAACGCGCACGCTCTGATGCCGCGTGCGGCGTGTTTTCCCGCGTCTATGGAGTCGTCTCTTGGCGGAAGACTGATAAATTGTTATGCAAACTTGTCGAATGAATACAAATAACAATAATAATAAAGTTACCGTGGAAAAACACCGAATATATATGCGATTTGTTACGAGTAAAAATACGATCAAATTAATCGCAACGTTATATAATAACGTTGGTCTTTAAAAATTTATAAATGTTGTCGTACGCGAACGTTCTTTCGACGCGTACTTGTTTAATTGAGTTGAAATAAATAAAGTTGCCTCGCGCAACTACGTGCGCGATCCACGGTACGCGATGTAATAATAAAAGTGTGCGCGCACACTTTTGTCCGCGCGATGTAAAACGCGTGCGACTGTTTCGTAGTAAAATTGGCAAATACTTGGTCGAAATTAAAATTTCTTTCGACAGACTTGTGCGTTTGGTATATAAAAACGGTTCGTCGCTTGACGAATGTATATACGCGCGCGCGATGTGTACGATAGACGAATTATACGCGTGCGTTTTTGTCCAAAATTTATAACGTCTGACTTTGAAACGTAACGTTTTGTTCGCGTCTACGTTGATATTTCTTTCGACGGACCACTTTTCTAATTTAATCTAATTCGATTAAATTTGACGAGACTGCGCGCGAAAGCGTGTTTAAATTTCACGAGCTTAAGCCTATTTCCACTAGATTTGACACACAAGCTTTCCTTATAGAAATTAAATACCGTAAGTGATTCATTGGCTATAGTAATTAATCACTTAAAAGCATTATTAAAATCACTGTTAATAGTGCTTTTAAATAATAATAGCAATTGACGCTGCGTACATACGCCGTGTCTGTCTGTCTCTCTCTCTCTTTCTTTCTCTCTCTCTCTCTCTCTCTCTCTCTCTCTCTCTCTGTTTGAAATGCACAAGCTCGCGCAGGAGCCTGAGCTCAAGAATTACAGAATAGGGAAAGACACTTTTCTTGTTGTTACGTCGGTAAAAAGATTGTGTATTTCCAGGGCAGTTATGTTATAATCTATAAATATATTGTAATAAATGTTGTACAGAGAACACATAGCATCAATACAAGATAAGATAATGTTGAATTATAAATGCATAATCCTTTCTCATTTGTCACTACAAGAAGTTAATCCCTCATCATAAATGATTGTAAGAACTAAGATTTCCGTTATTTGTATTTCGAACAGAGAAACAGTTCAGTGATTTCATTACTTAAGTCGGTTTGAAGAAAGGATCAGACAAATTAAACATCGTGTTCAAATCACATTACATAAATATAGCAAGAATGAATAAGTTGAAGTACGTACGTTATCGACTAGTGATTCGTCGCATATAATCGTTAGATGTATATATATATATCGTGTGGGATTCTGTAAATTCAATATAATGCACTTTCTTTCTATTCATTGATACTGTAACGTTTGCAATCAATCCAGTTATATAATTATTTCAATGGAGTAGTAGATTATTTCGATAAATGAATAGCGAACGTGATTAAATGATAATGAACCTTTTGCATGTAAACCGTTGTTTCGTAAACGTTGATAGCGGGCAAATAGCCACGGGTTGAATCGCACTATGTTGTTAAGATAAGACAGACCATACGTAAATATCCGAACCGCGTGTGCATCGATAATGCAAGATGATTTTATTCGAAGATTGCCACCTTTTCAAATGACTTTAAGTTCAACCGAGTGCAGATA